GTTGATTGAGAATTTTAAATGTCATTAGTTTTCATCATTTGTTCGATCGGTACTGTCATTCAGCTGTAGTTGTCACAATGGTTTACAGTATACCTAAACGCATTTTCAAATTGAGGTCCTTGGAAATTTTGCAATAGACAAGTATATGCAATGACAGGACTTTCACACGAGTCGGTTAGAAAAGTGTTAAAATTACAACCCGTACAAAACACAAATTCTTCAAGATCTAGGCGATGATGATCCAGACCGACGAATTGAGTTTTGTGAACTCATGACTGAAAGAATTCGCGTAGAACCGAGAATGTTAAAAAATATTTGTTTCACTGATGAATGTACTTTTATACTGAATGGGAATGTAAATAAACGAAACTGTCGGTGCTGAAGTGATGCGAACCTGCATCGATTCAGAGAAGGTCACACTCAATATCCCGAAAAACTGAATGTTTGGGCAGGAATATTAGGCGATGCTATAATTGGCCTGTTGTTCATTAAGTGGTGACATTTATCCCAATGGGCTGGAAAACAATATCGAACCTTTAATTGTGCATGAATTAGAGAACCAAAGGGACTATAAAGGCAACCTAGCTCTAGACGAAGATTTGCTGCACTTCCAGCTTCCAGAAGATAGAACACCTTCTCACTATGCAGTTTCAGTTAGGCACTGGTTGGATACTAATTATCCGAACAAATGGATTGATTGGAAGAAGAGGTCCTATTGAGTAGCCACCGAGGTCTTACTGCCACCTGACTTTTTTCTATAAGGTTACCTTAAGTCAGTTATTTCTGAAACTCAACTTGCGTCACTTGGGGAATTGCGAGAAAGAATTGAATTACCAACGGAACCCAATTTGAAGATTTACTTAATTGACATTTATTGAACTACAAACAAATTTGAAGTTCAACAAAAATCTCGTAAAATTTTCCATTTAAGCCAAAGTTTCACAAGTTTCACCCTTTATAAATATTATTTATACCAATGGATAGTATTTTTTTATAGTCTTTTCAATAAAGTATTCCCCATTTGAGTTTCCCCTTACTATTCTAGAAACGGTTTCAAGCATTTTTCGATATCAGCTTTTGCTCGTGAGATATAGTCCATTGTAAGTTTTAAAATTGGCATACTGTATAGTATTTAATTTTACTAAAAAGAAATTAAATGTTACACATAACTATATATTCACTATATAGTATTTAATTTTGCAAAAAAGAAATTGCACTGAGAACTGCAAATATAATACGCAAATAAATCAGAATTATGGAAATTCATCTTATTTCAATTCTCATTAACTAGGTCAAGTATCTTAGTTATCATCTATTAATTATAAATGTGTATAATGTTGCATTTTTACCATAATTATTACTTATATGTATAGCCAGATGTTTCACATTCCGATCAAATTTACATGAACGTATGCAGCATACCACAGTAAAAAATGTTTACATAAAACTATAAAAATGAAAGTAATGGATATTCGTTATATTCATATTTCAAATTGTTGGAACAGAAATAGTAATTTTCTAGTTACAGTTTTATCGACACCATCATTAAATAATGTTAAAACATTACACCAGTCATCATGATGTAGTAGTTATTGTCCACTGTTGAACATATGCCTCCTCCAAGCTTCTCCATATCTCTCTATTCTGGGCTGTCATCGTTCAGTTCTCAATCTTAACAACTAATTTTACGTCATCGCTACAACGCGTCGGTAGTCAACCTCTGCTACGTTTGTCTTCCCATTCTCATGGTCAGCACTTTCGATGTTCTCGCCACATGACCCGTCCATCCCCATTTCATTGTAGTTACATGTTTTACTATGTCTTTGACCTTCGTTGTTTGTCTGATGATGTCATTGGGTATTCTGTCTCTTTTAGTGATTCCAACAATGACTCTTTCCATGGCTCTCTGGACTACCCTTAAATTTTTCAATGTTTTTTTGTTTATGTGAATGTCTCCACTCCGTATGTCACCAGTAAAAGTCATGATTCATATACTTTCCTCTTCAGAAATATTACATTACTCTTAAATATATCCCGTAATTTTCCGAAAAAGGAGCCCAACCGAAACTTATTTTAGGCTGTATTTCATGCGTTTGATTGTTTTTTCCAATTTGTATTTCGTGCTCAAGGTATTTGTAAACATGTGTTCCTTTTATATCGACGTCGCCTATTTTGTTTTGTGGGAGCACCACATTTGTTATTATTTGGGTTTTGCATGCATATGCATGCAATAATTCGTCAAGCATCTGTTTTGCATCAGCGATTTTCTCCGTACATCTGTGATTTCATTGCGTATTCAAGAATCATTATAAAAAGTTTTGGCGAAATTTTATCCTCTTGTGTAACGCCTCTGTCTACTTGAATTTTACCTGTTAGTTCATGAAGTTTTCTCTTGATTGATAGAAGTCAATTTTATCTTTCAACCGGTCATAACAAGGGATAATATCTACAAAAAAAGGAGAAACGAAATCAAAAGTAGTATTTGTGTATAAACACCAAAATGAAGAGGTAAAGAATGGAAAATTGCAGGTATCAGAAAACATAAACAGTATCGAAATTTAGAACGCTGTGGAATTGGTCTTTTTCTTACCTTCATTTTACACACGTAGTTAAAAACCACCGCTCCGCCGAGGCGTTAAAAAATATTTTTCTTTAAGAAACTTAAATATGTTGCTTCATGCTCTTTAAAAGACTTCTTCTTCTTGTAGTTCCTTCTCCTATCGGAGGTTGGCTATCACCACAGCTATCCGTACCTTATTATCGGCTGCTCTGAAAAGATCTACTGAACTGCAACTATACCACTCTCTTAGGTTTCTTAGCCAGGCAATCCTTCTTTTTTCTATCGATCTTTTACCCTTGATTTTAACTTGCATTATGAGCCTTAATATCTCATATTTCGCACCTCTGGTAATGTAACCTAAATATTCCAGCTTTCTTGTTTTGATGTGCTTTATGACCTCAACATCCTTCTGTAGCCTTCTTAACACTTCTGCATTTGTAACTCGTTGGGTCCATGGTATTTTCAAAATCCTTTCTCAGCACCAAATCTCAAATGATTCCAACTTTATATTATTAACTTTTAGTGTCCAGCTCTTCATTCCATACAACAAATCGAGAACGCGTAGCATCTTAAGAATCATCATCAGTTCCAGATGAAGGTCTCAATTAACAAACATTGTTTTCATTTTTATACATGCTTGTCTTGCAATTTCAATGCGTGTCCTTATTTCTCTACCTTGTTCATTGTTTTCATTTACCCAGGTTCCCAGATATTTGTAGTTATTCACTTGTTCTACTTTTTTTTCCCTAGATATCTAGCCTCCCCACTGAATGTTGCTTAGAAAAAATCATGCACTTATTTTTTCAAGATAAATCTTATGCTGTTCAAGAATAACAATGGGGACAGCACGCAACCCTGTCTAACATTTCTATAGTTTCTGTATCGACATTTTCCATTCCAACCTTTATTTTTTGATTCCAGTACATATTGATGATAACACGTATATCTCGACTATCCACATCCTTTTCTTTTAACAGTTTTATGAGTTTGTGATATCGTACTCTATCAAAAGTCTTTTGATAATCTATCAAGCAGACATAGAGATCCTGGTTCATATCTACTCGTCTTTGCGCGAGAACGTTAAAAGCGAAGAGAGCCTCTCTCGTTCCTAGTCCTCCTCTGAATCCAAACTGGGTGTCATCTATATCTTCTTCTATTTTTTGTATGGTCTTCCATGTATTATTTTGAGAAATATCTTAAGTGTGTGGCTTATTAAGGAACTTGTTTTGTACTGGAAGCATTCTGTCGCATGTACTGACTTTGGTAGTGTTACAAACGTGGACAGCAACCAATCTTCGGGTTGTATTAATTACTCCTGTTGTATTTACTTTGTTGCACAGATCTAAAAGTATATGCAGTGTTTCTTCGTCAATGCATTTAATTAGCTTTAAAAGACGCTAAGTGCCAATAGAATAATTTGTTTTTGTAGCTAGTCAGGCGATGGCGCTCCTCTGTGAGTCGCAAGCTTCGTTTCCTATTAAAGGGCAAAGTGCCTTTACGATTCTGTTTTGTAAATACCGATATTGTTTTCCTGCATTATCCATTTCGCAGTATTTGTTCCTTCGAAAGCAGTTTCTATTTAGAAATGTAAACCATAAAAATAAAATGTAATAGAAAACAATGGTAATATCAAGAAAAATAAATATGAAATTGAAAATTCTAATTCTAGTAAAAACTTCGGTAACGTATCTGGTAAACAAAGTATATGGCATAAAGGAAAGACTGTTCCAACAAGAAATCAAATTTTAGACCCAGAATGTGTTTCATTATGATTTTCTATAACATATATAAACTCAGTAATCGAGTAACTGGATAGATCCACATCGTGGTGGGATAATAGTTCTTTATTCTGTTCGAAGAAGAAAATCAGCACGAGTAACCAGTTACTTTCAACGTAGAGAGGCACATATCAAATATTTTTATACCTTTTGACAGATTTAAATAGAAAAATACGAGCGCAAAATTTGAAAATATGTATACAATATTCTGAAATCTACATTTTAATTATGGTAAGTGATTCAATATTTTGTTGTAAAAATATGCCAGAATCTTTTTTTTTCGAATTCCGTCATATCCTGGATTATCTCAGTTCTCCATACTGAACCACTTTTTTTTAATTCATAGTATTTTTAGCGAATACGATATTTTACCCTATGCCAGATTAATTGTAAACTTCTTTAAAATAGAATCCAGGTGAGTATATTACGAAAACATTCTGTACGTATATGTAGAAAAATACATAGCTGAGAAACTTTGTGAAAAAGGTGGTTTAATTACAGCTGAACGCGATTATATCGTGTATATACTACATTTTAAAATAAAACCCCACGAAAAAAATTTAGAAAACCTTCAAAAAATATCAACTATCAAATATTTAGAATGTATTGATGATGCAGTATATAAAAAAATAATGCCAATACGTAAGTTATCAATTACTTACCCCGTTTTCTGTTTTTATTTTATCCTCTTCTGATTCGCTATAGTCGTTTTTCTTTATCTTCTTTATTTTATCCAAGTCGAGAAGATCTTCTCCGTCGCTCTGCTGTTTTCGTTTTTGCTCGATCGTTAGTTTGAGTCCAGCCTTAATGAGTTGGGAACAAGTATGTTGGACACTTGGTGGGTTCGTCGTTGGTGATTCCACCTGCAATAGAAAATATCTATTAATTAATTTGTAAATTTTCATTTAAATATTGTGCACCGATTTATTTATTAGATATTATTTAATCACATAGTGTCAGTAAAAATGTTGCAGTATGTTGCGGTCCTTTCGCCGTTTATTTATACATTCGGCGTTCCAATTCATCAAAACCGTAGTAAAGCTTTTCCTGAAATTTGTAAATCTTTTACACATTTCGTACAGCACAAAAAGACAGAAAACGACAGTCGTTTTCGTTTAATGCTACCAAAATAGTTGGCGCTTTTTGCAACTACCAGTGGGAAGTGTAAAAAGCAAAACACATTCGCTGGCTTTGTCATCGCTTGCATTAGTCTATGGAGCACGTCGATGCGCATCGCCCCGCATTGCTACCTCATATTCAATTTATGATTGGCCGATGGACTTGGAAATGCACATATCGATACGAAAATAGTGTATAAAAAGGATGCATTTTCCAAGCCATAAGTTGGTCAAGCCTAGCCTTACTCCTATCCCCATGTAGGGTCTCCTACACCCTGGGGGCCTCCTTCACGGGACTCTGCTTCTTACTTGTCCTGAGGCTCTTTTGCTAAGACCTTTTTCCAACTACAAACCCGAGTTTTATTTACCATCCCGTTTAATCAAGATGGAAACGCATAGGCAACTTCGATTGACTATCCGAAGCCCTCTCAGGAGCACCTAGAGAGCTGATATGGAGTTATTTCTTGCGAAAACCCTAACCTCCTTATGGTGACAGCTTTCCGTGTATCAATTTGTATCTACCTGACTGTCTGAAAAGACGTAGGGCATACAGATATAACATTATAACAGTCTATTGACATCAATTAAAATACGGAAAGTTTGACGAATTGTGCTCCTTTCGTCGCTTATTTATATATTCGGTGTCTCCAAGACTGTTTTGGAACAAATCCATTTACGAACTGTCAAAAATCTGTATGGATTCCAGTCCTTGCTAATAATTATTATCAAATAAAAATCCTATCAAGACGAGGAGGAAGAATGCTATTTCTATTAATGGTTTAAACTGGATTAGCCATCAGTTTAAACATTATCAATTTACTTGAAAAAAGATGAATTTAACATTACAAGCAATATTTTTATCCTGCTATTTTATTTAAGCACTGGAACAGTTATAAAAAAATTAGTTAGACTTCTTTTATAATTACCTGGCTGCTACTTGAGCTGTTGGAATCACTACTGGAATTGAAATGCCCATTCGCTGTACCATTGGTCGGTGTCTTTTTCGTGGAATCGTCAAAGGAATAGTTGTCCAGGGGATTGGTCATGGCTATAAGGGAATTTAGGATCTCTGGCGTACGCGGCGTGCTTGATGTACTATCTACCAGGAGGCTATAAGAGAAAATAAGTATGTAGTATGTGACGAGTAGCTCATAAAATTAAAATCATTAGGATATTTTTTTTATTTTTCTGGCTGAACAATTTACAAAAAATAACATATGTATTACTAATAAATGAGAAGATGTTCAGCAATTAAAAAATAAGTTAATGTTTGTCTATCCTCATGATTCGAGACTGAATTTATTGGTTTTGTGCGAAGCACATTATAATAATAATAAATAAGCTCATGGTTTACAGTTATAAGATTATTAGGAATAGAGGAATATGAGCCGGGAAGTCTGAACCTGGTGCACTTCGGAATTGATTATAAAATTGAGTTCTTCTATAGAATGAAAGATTGGAGCCTGAAAATATCAAATACCTCCAAAATTTTCTTTCCTACAAATATGGCGAGTAGGTAGAATAACCAATATAAAAGTAGAAATGTTATGGGAACAATGAAACAATACATAATAATACCTAATAATAACTAACAAAATATTTATTCGTACAATTAATAATTAAAGAAATGAAAATAAAAATATTCAGAAAGTGGTTTTGACGGTTGTTTTCACATAAAGGATGTGTCGATGTTACTTAGATTGGCCCAAGAAAAATTAATATCAAATTATGGTTACCATTCTTCATAAAGCAGTTGGTACAAAAAAGAAAAAGAATAAAGTTATATTTTTGTAAGTTTAGAATTTTGTAAGGAAGTGCACAGAAGAGAAACAGGTTGCAAAAAAAAAGGATCATTGTTATGAAAAGAGTATACAAGGAAAATAAAAAGAGAAGAAAAATGAAAGAAATCATCAGCAAGTGGTATATACACAGAATGATTATTGAAAGGAGCCAAGGTACGTAAAGTGTATTGGCGACGTGCAAGTACTTGGATGTGATACGAGAAACGATCGTGCGCGAGTAGCGGAGAAATCTTACATTTTTTAATGCACATTTCATAGATTTCATAAATTCATATTGTCAATTGTCATATTTCATATTCGTTTGTTTATTTACACCTTCTGTCACTGAGGAAAATGGGATTCAGGAAATGCTGTGTTATAAATTGTAAAAATACAACAAAAAATTGTCAATTTAAGTTTTATTTGTTTCCAACTTCGAAGCACAAATTACTGCAAAGAGAAAAGTGGATTTATATCATAAAAAAAGCATAAGTAACATAACCTAAATTATGCATTATTCTTGCGCCCGATTCAGTCAAAAGTCAGTTTGAAATAAACAATAAATAAAAGTTCTTAGAGTTCATTTTAACTCAAAAATCAAGTTTAATGTTTAAATTTTATTTTTTTTTGAAGTTTACAAAAATGCATCAAGTTCAAGTTTTTCTGAAGATGCATTAAGATATATTCTCTGTCCAAAAGTTTACAGGGAAAGAATCAATTGTTCAAACCAATATGATGATATCATGGGCTTAACTTGCTAATTTATGCGTTTATGCATTAGCATTATTTATGGTAATTTATTTTTCTTAATTCTTTCACATAATTTTTCCATCCTTTTTTGAGATTTGCCACTACTAAAGCTCTTTGACTCAGTGCTTGGTTGAAAACTTATTTGATGATTTACTTTCTCAAATCCAGTTTTTGTTATTGCATCCATATCAACAGTAATGCTATAATTTAATAATATATTTATTTGTATTTACCCTACATACAATGTTTACCTTGTAATAACATACCGACATAACCTCAATCTTACTTTTTCTTCTTATTCTTTTTTGGGGCTACGTCCTTGACAGTTATCCTGTAACCTCGATCTAACATGAAAGCGCAGTAAATTTTGCTGATCTACGACACCAGGTGTCGCTGTTCCGAATTTGCACGGTCCCAATACGTAAAGTGTACGTCAAGCAAAAACTTGACTCAGACTTACGACTAACAAAATAAAAGCCAATTATCCTACAGTCCCTGCTCAAACTATTACTCATTACAGAAATTTAAGTTTTTTTTTTTTATTTGAAGCGTCTTAAAAGTATCTTCACAGTGATACAGAGTTGTTGAATGGGTTGCATAACAATTAGTGAATAATCATGATACATAATTAATTTAAAAATTGTAGAACGTTGAATTGTAAAAACTTGATGTGACAGATGGTAATAGAATGTGCAAAAAGTCGACTTTTTCCAACTTTATTTTTTTATTTAAATTAGTGATTAGTCTTTAACTTTTGTAAAGTTTTCAGTGATAAGTGTTAATATTATTCTACAGTAATGCTAGTTTTTTAATTTAGATAATTTCTAATGATAAAACAAGACGATTATTCTTCAATTGGAATTTTTTAGATGGGTAAATGTAAAGATCTTTCTGTAGATCCATTTTTTTCTATTACTGATCTATTAGAAAATACCACATAATAGTCAAAGAAAAATAGCAAAAAATGTGGTTTATATCAATCATCAGTTCGAAGGTTGAATGAATCAAGAACTTAAAATATAAAAGGCCCTTTACGTTGGTTCGGAAGGGTCAGTGTGGCAGAAAGCTTTCAGTCATCCCAGAAGGTAAAATAACACTGCAAATATATAGCGAGCTATGTGACAGAGCGAGGATAAAATCGAGGATGAGAATCGAAGCGAGGATGAGAAATCAAAGCTAGCGCAGAAGAAATTTACCTAATGTAAACAAATAAATGTGGGAGAGCAGAAAAAGGCAAAAAGTAAACAGTAATAGAGAATAGGTTAATGTAGTTAAAAATAACATTAGCAACAACAGGAATACCACGATATAAAGGAACGTGTTTAACAACAATTCAGTTGATCCTGGATGAACCAAGACTAAGAAAATTTTTTAAAAGATTTAAGTCAGAGTTACTCGTCCCGAATATAGCGGAAAATGTGTTTTTCCTAAAATCGTAGAGTGTGAGTCTCAAGATTTCATATTTCGATCCTCTCATCACTTGGCCTAGGTATTCCAGTTTGGCCAGCCTTGTTTGTATATGATTTCCAAATTAAGATTTCTGCATGTTAGGAGTGGCTTCATTCGTATAAATGCTGATCTGGCAATCTCTATTCGCCTGGTTATTTCTGCAGTATCATTATTGGTCCATGTGCTTATTTATAAGTATTGATATTAATTTGTCATGTCTTACTCTAAAGAAAGCTTTTTGTAGTCAACAAACCTCAACGTTTACATCACATCGCTGAATCAGTATGTTGATGGCAAATAGTCACTCGAGTACCGATTCCACTTCGAAACCCGATCTGCTCCTCTAATTTTTCATAGATTCTCTTATTACTATAAGCAGTACTTTTAAAATATGACTCATGAGGCTCAGTGTTCGATAGTCAGAGCACTCTTTTGCTACTTTTTTGTTAAGGGATGGTTATGAATGCTGATTTCAGCAACTCTTGCGGTATGATTCCCGTATCGTACATCTTGTTGAACAAATCTGACAATCTTTCCAAGTTATCCTCTTCTACTAGTTTGAATAGTTCTACAGATATTTCATCTAATCCAGCTGCCTGTTTGATTTCATCTATCGTGATCTTCTGTCTTTCTAAAGGATTTAATTCTTGTATATCTTGCATTTCAACTCCTTTCTCTCGTAAAATTTCTCTAATGTACTCCCATCTTCTTAGCTTATTGGGTAACTCTATTATCAGTACTCTTTTCTTGTCTTTTATATGTACTTGTTGACTTTTTTGACCCATTCCTGTCACTTCTCTTATATTTTTGTGCAAATTGCTCATATCATATTTTGTTTCTAGTTATTCGGTCTCTTTACATTGTTTCATCAAATATATTTCCTTAGCTGATTTGATTTTTTCCTTAATTATTCTTTATTTCTTTCTATACTTTTGTAGATCTTTTCCTTTATATTTTCTTCTTTCTTCCATTTGTAGTAGTATTTCTTCTGTCATCTATTTTTTTAACCTCAGACCTGTGTTGTGTCAAACTGTCTTGTTGTCCATAAGTTGTTTGTTGTCAGTTAGTATTTTTGCATATTCACATTTACATTATTTTTTAATTCGTTTTTATTTCACTTTTCAGTATTTCAGTATTCTTATATCAATTTTTGGTTCTTTTCTTTTAAGATATTTTATCATTTTTTTAAATTTTATTGTCACGGCAGCAACTAACTGATTGTGGTCTGAGTTAACATCTGCTCCAGGATAAGTTTTGACTGAGGTTATAAAGTTTTTATATCTGCTGTTTACGAGTATAAAATCTTATTTCTGACAAGAAGGTTATGTGTATGTGAAGGAGACGTCCATGTATATGGTCTTCTCTTAGGAAGCTAAAACAATCAGCCTTTCTCCTGTCTCGTCTCTAGTTCCTAATTACTACTATATTTTCAACTAAACCTGCTACAATTTTTGCATTAAAGTTTCCAAAAATGTACATTATGTCTCTATGACTTATGACTATGACTCTATGTTAACTTCAGTGTATTGTGAAATTTTGAATAAAACTTTTAGATCTCATCTTGGGTCTTATCAGATGTTGGAGCATATACTTGGGTCATATTAATATTGCAACTCCTTACTTGAATTTCTAGCATTATTATTTTTTCTGAGATTTGAATCACATCCAGTAGTGATTTGCTAGTTGTGTTGCTTATGATGAACGCTACTCCGTATCGATGATCAGGTTTGTCTCCTTGAGTGTAATACATATGGTGCTTAGTTACTGATATATCTCCATATCCTGACGATTGTACATCGCTAATACTAAGTATGTCTATATTTAGCCTCTCTTTTTTTATAATGCTATGTAGTTTTTCAGGTTAATTTCAAGTAGCTATTTTTATCTGAGTGGGTTGAGTATTTTTTTGCATTTGTGTGCAAGTGCATTCTGATGGTTGTCCTCCCCTGTCGGATTTTGGTCTCCGATTACCATAATCAATAGTGTCGCTTTCGTAAATAGTGCTAGTCATTATAATTTGTATTAGAGATGTCATCAGGAACCTTTAATGCAATGGTTTCTCGTTGCCTTCTGCATTCTGATTCCGTTGACCACTTTTTTTATTCTTCCGCATATTCTAACATCAGAAATGGTTAAAGAACTTATTGATTTAATTTACGTAAATGAATGGCGGCAATAACAAGAGCTACAAGCAGACCCACCCATTAAGAAAATCGATGTGTTTCATATGTAAAACATATTAAACAAAACAACCTTGTATAAAGAATAAATATAGATAAAGCACCTAAACGAGGTAGTGAGATCATAATTAAAGAAGACATTCAACATGATAAAAAACTAGTTGTGTCGATGAGATGTAGTGTTGCGTGTTAATCCAATATGTTATCTAGATAAAATAAGCACACACCAAAGCACAGGCTCTTTAAGAAATTGTCGATAAATTAGGTAAGAAATAAATTTTTCGTTGGTCAATTAATCATATTGTAATGGCTAAAATACTGATAAGGTTTTTTTGCAAAAAAAGTATCATATTAATAGACATGTAAAGAGAGGTTATAATGTTGGCTCTGATTATTACTTAATAGAGGCAAAACTTAATAGAGATAAAGGACAAAACTCCTTTAGGCGACCTACAAACAAAAAATAGATACAAAGTTTCTTGTATAAAAGCGTACAAGTTGTTGAACTTGGATGCTAGTAGAAAATATCAAGATAGACTGACAGAGAACCTAGAGAGCATAAATTGGAATGAATATACAAATATAAAAATTATGTGGCCACTGTTCAAAAAACAATGTAACAAATAGCTTTGTTACACATGTTTGACATTTGTGGATATAGTTATACTAATAATAAAAAATAGCCAGCATGGTGAAATAAACAAATAAAATTAAAAATACACTTAAGAAAGCAGCGATGGAAAACAGGGCTAAAAAGACAAAGAAATAATGATAATTATGAGAAGTATAAAAAGCAAATAAAGTAGTTAAAGAGACAATAAAAAATGCTAAGACATAAAAGTGGGAAGAATTTGAACATAAAATGGAGGGCGACAGCAGAGGAAATTGTAAGTAAGGTAAGAGAAATGGTAAATAAAATAAAATAAAACACTTAAAAATTTAGGAAAAGGTAAAGAATATACCACAACATTTATTGAAGATAAAACTGGCAAGTTACTAGTCACAGAGCAAGAGCGAATGTATAGAATGCAAACTAATCTTGAGACTACTAAAAATAATAAAAAAGGTTTAAGAGATGAAATATCTTTAGAAGTCAAAGAGTCAACAAATAGTTTAAGGAAGAGGAGAAGCGGGGGCTCAGGTAATATTAAACTGGAAATAATAAAATACATGCCGAAAGTCGGAATAAGACTAATGCATAAGATTATAAATTTAGTCTAGAAAAACAACCGTATTCCTAAAGACTGGACACTTACGAACATCCTTCCAATATACAAGAAAGTAGATAGAAATAAATGCTCAAATTACAGAGGCGTATCTATGCTGATCGTAGTATACAAAGTATACGAGATAATTCTAGAAAAATATTAAGAAATGTTAGAGACCAAAAAGGGGTACAACAGTTTTAATATTCACGATACTACAGCTAGCAGAAGAAGCACTACATAAGAATGATTAACCCCATTTCGGTTTTGAAAATCTTGACTTAGAATCACGGGAACGGGAAAAAATATGGAAAGAATTTGTTACGAAAATTAGATAAATTACGAAAGATAGATAAGGAAGGGTACTAAGTCCTGTCTTGTCTGTTACATTAATGGATTAAATAACCAAAAGAGTACCAAATACGTAAAAGTTGGAATGAGAAAATTACGACAAATATTCTAATCTGAATTAATCTATGCTGATGATTTAGTTATTATGGCAAATAGCCAAAAAGACTTACAAAGAAGTTTGCAAATTTTGAGTAAATGATTTTCTAAATAAAAAATAAAAATTGAGCTAGACAAAACTGAGATTATTGTAGTTTTAAAGAATGCTGAATAAAGTTATATCAGACTAGATCACAGACAGATTAAGCAGGCTGAAAATTTCAAATATTGCGGAGAGGAAAATGGAACCAGAATTAACAACAGAGTAAAGAATGCAACTAAAGTTAACTACGCATTAAACAAGGCGTTTATTCGTAGAAATGAGATCAGTCTCAACACCAAAATAGAAGTATTTAACAGTGACTTGAACTTTAAGTGACAGGGACAAACGTAAGATACACACGTGGGTAATGTGGTACCTAAGAGGTTTTGGGAGTGTCGAGCAGCGATAGATTGAGAAAAGACTTTATATGGGAACAGTGTAATGTTGATGTCTTAAACAGAGACAACTTGCGTGGTTTGGTCGTATAGTCCGTATAGATGATAATACAAAAGTGAAGCAAGTGTGGCAAGCAGGAGTGGACACAAACGAAGCAGAGGGAGACCAGCATGGACGTGGAATAGCGAGATTGGAAAGGCGTCAAAGAAACGAGAAAACAATTGGAGAGAAGCGGTGTTGATCGCCAAGAACCAGGGCAGTTGGATGGTCTTTTCTACTCCAAAACCGCAAATGACATACAACTGTAAGGGTAAATAAGGCTTAAGGATTAAGTAAGTAAAGTAAGAATATATCGTGGAAGTAAAAATTTTAAATATTCTATATAAAAACAACAACATAAACCACAAAGATAATCATAAATAAACAGGACATCTACTTTAATAAAAAAAGTTGGATGTGAATAGAAATTTGAAAAACAAATGAAACTTAATTTCAATTATCGATATTAAATAATATTGATATCGCATATTCGATATTAAATAATATCGAATATATGGCTGATGTGGATGAAGTAAACTAAGAATATATATGCGCGGGACTTACCTGTTGACGGCGTTTTGGGCCGAAGTAGCCAAGTCTACGTTTAAATTATACATAATATCACTTTTTATCATTAAAATTAAAATCACAATAAACTAGACTCAGCTGAAGCAGCTCTCCTCTTCAAGTATTACTTCTTCACAGTTGGTGATGCTCGATTGGCGTTAAAACCAAGGAACTCGGAAATAGTATCACCTTCGAGGGGTCTGATGATGTACAGGTAATCGAAAACTGAAACAAAACAAAATACACGTTAATTTACAGTTAAGATTACAATGATAAGAATAAAAACGTCAACAGTGATAAGAGATAAGACGTTGATTTTAATATCTTAGGTAATGTTGTTCGGGTAATCCATTTTGATTTTGACGTTTTATTGATAAGATTATTGATATTTTGAAAAATATATCTTTACTTTGCATAATCCCAAGTACAAAAAATGATAAACTTATGGTTATGGGATTAGTGTTAATTACTAACAACACTCAGACTTTATTCCGCAGAAGGTAATGAAGAATAAAAACATATTTTTATTGAAAATTACATAATTTACTAAATCTTTATATAACAACATAAGCAGTAAACATGGACTCTTACTACATTCCCGACACATTTGCAGAAAAAATTTATTGCGTTTCATATTATATTTATACACATGAAATAAGAAAAAATAATATAAACAGCTTAGGTTTAAAGACGTATTGCAAAAGATAATTATACATTCAGAACTTGTCTCAATAATCAAAATATAAACAGTCATACAGGCTATTGGTACGTCAGTTTTCTCATTACGCTACTGATCCCCATTCTAACGGCGATGTTTTAGTTACAGAACGTTTGAAGAAGCTACCTGTCTAGTTAGATGATTCTACACTGTTTCAATCCTGCTAAGCGAACAATAAAGCAGGAACATTACTAAGTAACAGAGCACTGACGTCACGAGGGGACCAAAAAACTTGTCGAACTAGTCGACAGTCCCTTGAAAAACTTCGATGGAATTGCAGAATAACGGGACAATCATATATAACGGAAATTAAATTGTAGAAAGTTAGTCTAATAAATATATTTGTAGCATGCAGGAAATAAAACGTTTTTCAAATTTCCAGTGTTAGACTGTCAGAGTTAAAACAATTGGTGTCCTCATGATTAATCTACAGCGTGCAAATACGTTTGAGTATAAAAGTAGCGATTAAAAGCAAAGGAAACATTTTGTTTTCCCCCATTTTTAACAACAAAAAATGGTGAAAATCTTAAATTATCCATGTCTATCTGTTCGTTCGTCTGTCTAACTGTGAACACAACTACTCCCATATTAGAATAGATACAATGACAAATTTGACCAAACCAGAACTCAAAATACAAAGATAGAATTAAGGTGAGAAATTTGACCTCGAACTTCCGGGGAAGTTGCAACCGGAAGTACGGAAGTAAGTTTTAAAGTCGTTTAAATATATCGTACAAGCGATATATTATTTGTCGCGCCTTAGCAATGACCGGAAGTTACGAATGGACGCAAAGTTACACGAAAAGACATATCAATTCCCGGTTCTACTTTAGGCCACGTTGGGTAAAAACCTAGGAAGGATTTGTTGTTTATGATCTAATTTTGAATTTTATGTCTAACTTAATACTTACTACTAATAAAATTTTGTAATATCTTGGACATTTGCATGAATATAAGATCTAGTACACTTAGTTTCACAGTTGTCAGAAACGAAAATTCCACTGAAACTCAAGAAATCATACGAACAAGCTGAATTTTAAGGAGAATGTCAATTTTAGGACCCCAAAAAATATGCAAAAAAATTTACCACTGCTAACCCCGGATTTTCCCTAAAACTCCTTTTGTAAGGGAGGTTGGAAAAAATCGATTAACCAATAATCTGTACGCCGTAGAACAAATTTTTCAAATAAAAAATGTAGCCAAGATAGTTTTGTGGTATGCTAACTTTACGGTAAAGCTAGCTTAGCCATAGCTATATTTCGGCAATAAAAAGAGTAACAGGGCCCATCTTGTAGCATTTCTATTTCCCCTGGTATTTGTTCCCCTGTGTATAACACCGAAAAATATTCTCAATCTTTTTGCGTTGCTGAGTTTGATAATATAAACATTTCTGGTCTGTATATAATAGCACTAATTGCATTTGTTTGATCTTTATCCCGCCTAATATTGCGCGTCAAATAAATATCCACTTAGATTGGTGAGGAAAGTGATGCGGGGAGATTATGATGCCACGGATTTAGTTCAGATTTTTCTTCTTTTTTTTTTAATTCGTAATGCTTTTTCGTTATTCGTTTTTTGGTTATCAGAAATCAAGTGTAAAGTGATAGTAGCAGTTAAAGTTAGAGAGATTTTAGATTTAAGAAGAGATAGCTTTCAGCGTGTAGTCTTCAAAAGCCGCCAATTGAATGTTTCATATGTTTCAAATGTTTCAAAGTGTTTAAAAACGGCGTTTCCAACCATTTGAAAGGTCCACATGGTTTTAAGAAGAAATTGAGTGGCTGAGTTTTGAAGATTGCAGTTTTTTATCATCCAGGATAACCCGAAGCCAGAATCAGTGTCCAACTTTCCAAGAATTGTCCATTTTGTGTTCCATGGTCACCTCAGACCAATTCCAGTTTGTGTGGGACACACTTGTGTGTTGTTTGCAGTGTTTTGATTCAATTCCAATCCCAAAAACTTTCTTAAGAAAATAAATCAGCCAGTGATACCAGGTACTTTGTATTAAAATTATTCAAAGTAAAAATAAACAATTTTTATTAATAAAAAATTTGCTTTCGTGACAAACTAAAAAATTATAAATATATAAAATTATAAGTTTTGTGGATTAGCTAATTGTCATATTAATCTTCTTTTAAATACAATTAATTTTAATATGTTTTATTTCAAAAAGGTTTAATATTTCATTTCGACATATGACAGTCAGTATTATCCTTTTATGACATTTGGTACATAACAATAATTTTGAAATTGAATTCTGTTTTGTTTAAGTGTTAACCCCAATGTAAGCTCGGTTAAAAAATTTAGATAATTTTTATTTTAGATTTTATTTTATTTTAGATAAACGGCGTCCACTTCAAATAGATTAGGAACCTTCTTGTGTGTGTTACCCAGTCCCTCCCTTATTCACTTACTTACGACCCAGCTCTCCAACCAAAACAAGAGTGGCCGTTCTCAAACGTTCCGGTTTTGTTTGCTTACCCTATCTCCAGCTCAGTAATTATTCAGTCCCCACTTTCCCTCCACAACCCCCTATAAGTGATACCCAATGTGGTAGGCAAATTAAATCGTAACAATCTTGGTGGCATATTTTATTGCTGGTTAATTTCTGTTAATTGATTCACTGACCAAACCTCAAAAACTACCCCATCATCACACAATAACAGAAAGTTAGCGCGATACCATAATATATGTAATTATAAATACCTACGTTGGTTTGTAATAGATTCTGACTACGAGCTGGAACCTGAAGAATAATAATTTGTCTCTGCACCATGTAATATACTATCTTATGTCGTTAAGTAGATTGTATTGAGATATTTTTATTAAAAACGACACACTCTCAACATTTATAGATTGATAAACAATACACACGTGTACCTACTAGTTGTTTGCAAAGTTACCATTTTAAAAAATAACGACAAAGTTGTTCGCTCAGCTTAACCTTAATATTTCAAATGGCAAAAGTCGTTTTGTTTTTCAGTAGAAGAACTGCATACCTAGTAAACATCTACGTTTAATGACGATCATTAGCAGTTCTCCTCCCAATTATAGTATTTTAATAGCTGTTATTATAGAATTAAATATAATTACTATGTCTTTAAAGGAATATTATTATTCTTGGATTAATTTATACACCAGAAGAGAGAAATATTTTTACAAAAATATAAAAATATAAAAAATGAATATATAATACATAAACAAGTACATATAGAGTGAATCTGTTAATAAAAGGATACTGAATAAACAATTTTTATTTCTAAGAGGGAAATATTACCAAATATTTAATTAATTTATCTAATCCCTATTATCTAAATCCATCATAATTTCCAAACAGATTTGCATGAAAATTAATGAGCATAATTTTATTAACGAAAAACAATTTTTTTGTATACAGATAGAAAATAAATCTTCTTCAACAATCTAATCCAGGCTGGATTAGATTGATGAAACCCCGCGCGCCTATGCGCCTTTATTAGTATTTATCCGTAATATAATTTTAGAACATAACCCCCTCTGTGGCTCAGTGGTAAGAGCGCCTACCTTTGAACGTAAAGGTTCGTGAGTTCGAATCCCACCTGGGTGGAAATTTTCGTTTATTAAAAATTAATAAATGAAAATAATTTCTATCCTTGTGCGATCGGTACTCACCAGAGGGACCGCAGACGTTCGGATACAATTAGCATCTCTTAGCGAAGACAATGACATCGACTTTGCTAAGTATCAAGACAATTACTTTACACGCACACACATACTACACTAGGTACCTGACTGTACCATGCCAATGATCATAGTTGTCGAGGCATTAACTCAATAATAATAATAATAATTTTAGAACCTTTGTCCAAAGATGATTCATCTTAAGTTCTAATTTTTTTTAACTTGCTATCGATTTCGCAGTTTTATTTATTCATTTGTGAAAAGATCAATTGAGTATGGTGTTTCTGCAAATTACAACTCGTATCAATTATCAGATAATGAAAGGCTAGCTCACATAGCTCGAAAATAGCACGCAGGGTTTTGTGGTAAATGCGACGTGCGGCGAACTCAACATTGTTATGATTCGGAAGCCGTTAGTATCAATATCTGCTGATTATATTATAATATAAGAGTGTTTCATACCAAAACTGGTCTAATATATATACAGGTCCAGTTTTCTGCGCTCGTTAACTTCATTATACATATAGGACTGGGTCCTAGAATCTGTTGCTTCCCAAAATCCTACGTAACGAAGTCAGTGGGTATAAAAAACGTCGCCCTTATACTTTAGGTTTTGGAGTAAAATAGTAAGCGGCAACTACTATATACAACAAAAACTGTGGTCCAAAAAATGGCATCCAAATCATATCCTAA